TTTCTTGTCTGCAGTTCGTTTGGCCTCGGGATTTTTTCCCCCCCTTTTTGCGCCGCTGGGTAATCCAGGAGCCCGGGGAGCTTAACCACAGCAAAAGCAGGGCTGGATCAGCGCTAGCCGTGGTTAAGAGCGGAAGTAGAAAATTCCGTCTAGTCAGGGAAATGAACTGCTGACCTTGTTAAGAAGCCGCTCCGGCTGGGTGCAGCAAGGCCCCGCGTGCGGATTCCTCACTGTCGGGAAACGCGGCTCTGACGGCCAGGCCGATGTTTGCAGTATTCTAAGTCGGTTGATTTCTGTCCTGCCTTTCGGGCTGGCAGGGGTGTCCAGAGGGGGTGTATTAAAAAAGTCAAGGTGGCAGCTGGGACAGAGCGGTCGAAGCTCCGCCTCTTTTCATGTGTAACGTAAAAGAGGGCGGGGCTTGGACCGATGGTGGCAGCCGCCATCTTGACCTTTTTAACAAACCCCCTCTGAGTACTCCAGCCCACAAGGGTTTCCCCCCTTTTTATTTATATATTTTCAAAGGAATATTAGATGATGATGATTGGTTGACTGGTAGGTAGGTAGGTAGGTAGATAAGCTCAGTGTTTCTCAACCTTGGCAACTGAAGTTGAGTGGACTTCAATTCCCATGCTGGCTGGGGAATTCTGGGAGTTGTTCCACTCATCTTCAAGCTGCCAAGGTTCAGAAACACTGGATTGGATTGGATTGGATGGATCTATAGACAGACAGACAGACAGACAGACAGACTAAATGGATAGATTAGATTAAATAAATTAAATACATTAGATTAAATTAGATTGTGATAGGTGGATTAGATAGATTGAATAGATTAAATAGATTAGATTATAGATTAGATTAGATGGATAGATGATGGATAGATAGATAGAGATGATAGATTGATGATGATGATGACAGACAGACAGACAGACAGATGATTGGTAGATGCTCCAGACTTTTCCCTGCTTGTGAATATGATGCAATGAAATTAATGGGGTGCCTTCTGGAGCTGAAGCCCTGTTTCTTTTTCCTTTCTCCTGCAACTTCCCACCCGCAAATTACCTTTCAGGAAGAACGGCTCTAAGTGTCTGGTTCACTGCAAGATGGGAGTCAGTCGGTCAGCCTCCACCGTGATCGCCTACGCCATGAAAGAGTACGGCTGGAACCTCGACCAGGCGTACGACTACGTGAAGGAGCGCCGCACCGTCACCAAGCCCAACCCCAGCTTCATGCGCCAGCTGGAGGAATACCAGGGCATCCTCTTGGCCAGGTGTGTTCAAGTCCCCCGCCCCCAAGAGCACCTCCGGTATCTGGTGTGGAGACGGACGTGTGTAAGGTTCGTTCTCCTTTAAGCCAAGCTCTGCTCCTGAGAGCTCGGTAGATGTGCTTCGGTGGTTTTCTGAGCGAGACCAGAGGTGGGCTGCCACTGCCTACTCCCAAGACATTTTTTCAACTTCCCCGGTGTGAAATTTCAACTTCCTACCACCGTGAAATTTCCCACTGGTGTCCCATCCAGCTGCAAACCTGCCTGCTTTTTGAAATCAGCTTGGAGCTTTGACAGGCTGTGAGCGTTCCCTTTGCTTTTGTGACCAGCAGCCACTGATCTCACTGAGAAATGGGAAAAGTCTGGGTACGGAGGCTTCTCCATCCTGCCCCAAACCCCAGTCGTCTGGGCCAGATCGCCCTGTGCCGTTCTGGGCTTGAAGGATGCGGCCAACGTTTTCCCCTCGCTCAGATGCGATCGCTCACTGGCTTCCAAGAGGGAGAGTTTGGGGGGAAGGATGTCCAGGCAGAGGGGGATTCTCCCACCACCCTGGGAGAGCCATAACCCAGGTTAGTTCAGAGAAAACAGCTGTCAGCAGGAGTTCCCCATGCTGGGTGTAACATCTTGGCTAATTTGTTTTTTTTTACATTTCCACACAGAGTCTAGGCCAATGTTTCTCACCCTCAGCAACTTTAAGATGGTGGACTTGCTGGCTGGGGGAATTCTGGGAGTTGAAGTCTACCCATCTTAAAGTTGCTGAGGTTGAGAAACACTGGTTTAGGCTAATGAAACATGGCTTGTTGGCATGAGTTCCGTAAACCCTGGGTGCTCCCAGGGGCCACGGCCTGGCCATAAGGGGTGTGCCTCCTTGCAGATTTGTTTTCTGGCCTTGCTGAGCTCAGAGGTGGGGCACGGGGGTCCATTCCCAGCATGTTTGCTTCTCTGGTCGCATTTCCTATGAAAAACCATCAGGGTTGTTTTTGTAACAGGAACCATAATCTTCAGCAGCCTGTTTGTGTTTTCTGTGACAAGAATCCTGTTGGCGGCCACGTGGCTGCCAGATGCCTTGGGCTCGGATGTCGGGGGTTTCGAAAGTGTGTTTTGGAACAACAACTGGCAAAAAATGGGAATGCAGGGAAGGAATTTGAAACGGGAAGGAGAGGTGGTCTGACTTCATCTGAAGGTTCACGTTTTGGCAAACCGCAGTGTGGCCATTGCAAAGGATAGCGAGAAAGGAGCATGTATCCACCCATCCTTTCAAATGTTCACGAGCTTTCTGGAACATTAATCACTGCTCCTCCTTAAAACAAGCCTGCAAGGTAGACCAGACTCATGATCCCCATACTGCAGATGGGCAAATCCGAGGCTAAAACAGGAGTTGGCTATGGCTACCTAAGTGAGTCAATGCCAGAAGCTCATTGCCAACTGGGGTCTACGTAGCTTGTGCTTGATGTTCCCTGTGCATGAAGGTGATGCCCTCCTGAGGTGTGTGACTGGGTGTGGGTCATATTTTTAATCTGCCCAATGGGAAGCCTTTACCTTCTCAGTGGATTACAAGACTGTGGGAAGAATTCAAATAGTTAAAACAGTACAGACAGTCCTCACTTATCGACCGCAGTTGGGACCGGCAACTCCAATACTAAGCATGTGGTCGTAAAGTGAGACATCTCGTGACCGTGACCCACTTACAATGTCAGTTCTGCTGCAGTTGTTAAGTGAGACATCAAGTGACTGCAACTTGCAATTTCACTGCTAGCTTCTCTGTTGACTCTGCTTGTTGGAAGTTGGCTGTGAAGTGCACATATGACAATCACATGACTGCAGGGACACTGTGACTCGTAAATTAGAGGTCCAGTTGTAAACCTACTTTTTCAGTGCTGTCGTAAGTTCGAACGGTTGCTAAGCAGGGCAGTCATTAACCAAGAACTACCTGTATTAGGAATAAATAAGTAGCATGGGAAAGAGAAGTTGCCGATGTTACGAAACACGTGTCTTCCATTCTTCCATTAATCACACAAATATGCTAAACCCTTAAACCCAGGTTCACATCATGCGATTGCTGAACACGCAGTGCCCCAGCGTATTAATCCAATGATGGTTTAATGTGACAGCCTAATTTTCAGCACAGGCTAAGACCAGGGCTGGGTTCCCCCAAAATGAACCAGCCCATTTGAGCCTGGAGGGGTGCAGACCAGCCCCACCAGCAATTGCTGGAAGGGAGGTGCTCTTCCCAGCCGCAGCACCATAGAAACCAGCTGGCATCGGTTGGGAAAGAATTATAAAGAACAGCTCGGGGTAGTATCAAAGTATAGCCACACGATGTTGCACCCCCTGAAGTGAGTGCTCTCCTTAGCCCAGGTTTTAGCTGGACAGGGCACCTACTCTGGGGAAAACGCTGTGGGGAGAGGCCACTGAGGAGGTTGGCAGCCATGCCAGGGGGATCCCCAGTCGACGGCCTCCGTTGCTGACCTGTGCCAGGCCCGTTTCCAGGAATATCACACGCTCTTTCCCTGCCTCTCATGTGTTCCTGAGTTCCAGCTGCAGAGCCCCGAATGAGGAAATGAGAAACGAGCTTTCAGGGAGCAGGGATCCTGTCCCCTCTGTCGCCCCCAGTCCTTGGGCACAAGCTCTCTTATTGCAAGGAAAGTGACTTAGGGGCCTTGAACCGGACTGATGGATCATGGTGGATGCAGCTGGCAACGGGCCACTGAGAGCAATGCTCCTTCAGTGCAGTTTTTAATGTACGGCAGATGAGACCGATGTGTCTGACCTTTAAGTATTTGATAGAATATGCGTCCTTTGGCTGTGCACGAGGAGAGCTGTCCTGCTGTGGAGGGTGCTTCCCCAGGGTTAAGTGGTGCTCCTCCTTTCAGACTTTAAGTCTCCTTTAAGACTTACAGCTTAAAAGAGAGGGAGCTGTAGAGGGCCCTGCTTATTTATTAGATTTATATCCTGCTTTTTATTTTGTACAACTGAAGGCGGCATACATAATTCTCCTGTCCGCGAGGTGGGTTGGGCTGAGAGGGAGGGACTGGCCCAAAGTCACCAAGCTGGCTTTCCTGCCTAAGGGAGGACTAGAACTCACAGCCTTGCGGTTTGTAGCCTGGAGTCTTTGACCACTACACCAAACTGGCCCTCCCTCCCTCTCCTTTGATTGATTGGCTGGCTGGCTGATTGATTGATTGAAAAGGGGCTAGCCTGTCCCATAGCTGCTGGTCTCAAGGCTAGATTTTTTAAAAATTTATTTTTTATTTATTTATTTATCAAATTTGTCTCTGCCCATCTCATTGAAACGACTCTGGGCGGTTTACAGCAGAGATAAAATTCATTAAAATACAATATAAAAACAGTCCTAATAATAAATACCTTCCAAGAAAGATGGAGAGTTGGCGAATAACTCCGGGAGTGTTGTCAGGGTGCTCACCACCCCCAGGGACAGTTGGAGCTCATGTCGCCCCATGCGTGCTGGCAGAGCTACTGTAGGTCCTTAAGCCTTTTTGGAAAGCCGGGAGGGTAGGGGCCCGCCCCACCGCTGGGGGGAGCATATTCCAAAGGGTGGGGCCACGGCAGAGGAGGCTCTCCTCCTGGGCCCCGCCAGCCGACATTCTCTCGCTGACGGGTCCGCAACATGCCCTCTGCCTGACTGGGTGGGACAGGTGGATATAATGAGGGTGAGACAGTCCCTCAGGTAACCTGGACCCATGCCAGGTAGGGCTCTAAAGGTGATGACCAACACCTTGAATTGGACCCAGAAGCAAACTGGTCTGGTCTGTCGAGTTCTGCTTTGGAGAGCATCGCGTGCTCCCTTGGAGCTTCCGGATCCGACGGCCCCTGGAAAGATGGCGGCCCCAAGGGGGGGTCAGAGCCTCAGGGATAGAGGTGCACGGATGTAATGGGAAGAAGGAATGGCTTTGAGGAACAGGAGGAAGAGCTGCCACTAAGACAGCAGTTGGATAAAAGAGGGCTGAGTCCAGGGCAGGAATGTAACCTGAGAAAACGTCTCAGACGTGACCCTCCCTGGTTCTCCCAAATATCAAGGGAGGGGGGAAGCACATTCAGATTTGCAAAATTCTGTTGCTAGATCTTTATAATAAAAGTCGTATTAGACTGCATGACTTTGGTTTCCTGGTCTGGTCTACCTTGAAGGGCTGGCAGCACCTCTGCTCCCATTTAACGCTCCTTCCGTTCTTCTCGTTCTTTCTCCCAGGCGAGATACGTAAGACATAAGAAAGAATCAAGCGATTCTTTTGGAAACGCAACAAGAGCATAAATTACCTGCCTTTATTGCTAGACAGCCATGCTGGGAGGCAGCAAATGGAACTGAAATGTCGTAACTGTTTTAAAACACCTGGGCAGGATTTCCACACCATATAAATCAAGTTCTTCTTTTTCTTCCGCCTGGCAGACAAGTGTTTTTTTGGAGGGACTTGGCTTTGGTTTGTAAAGTGCAGGGCAGCCCCTCCAGAGCGGAGACCTTGGCTGGGTGCAGAGTGCACCAATGAAAAACCATGTGATTTGTCAAGGGGCTGCAAACCTACTCAAATAACACCTTTCCTGCTGTTTGGGATTTTTTGTTTTTTGCCTAAGCAAGCCCAAGGTTTTCTCCTGGGGCCGCTTTTATTTTCCCTTCAGTTTTTGCAAGCCCGGTGCATTAAGAATTTTGGCAAGAGAATTCATTGCGACTTCTTGCTCCGGCTCGGCTCCAGGCGCACGTAAAGGTTTTGCATGCCAATGTTTGTATGGCTTGTGCTGTTCCTCGCTGGGAAAGTGTTTGTCTTTTCTTGCATAGAGGGAGGGGGAGAGAGAGAGGGAGGAACGTGCCCCAGGGCAAGGTTTCGGAAGGAGGGCAAGCCCTGTCCCAGAGCGTGTGTGCCCCCAGCGGGCATGTCTTTGCAAGCCCAGCCATGGGAAGCAGCGTGGAAGGGCGCCAAAGGGCCCGGCTGGCCTGGCCGACCCCTCCCGGTCATCGCTGGTGGCCACACGGTTGCACTGCTTGTTTTTGCTCCTTTCTGGAAAGAAGCCCCTCTAACCCTGGGAACAGATGGCCAAACAGGACCGGCGGCTGGCTGGCGGCAGAAGCGTGTGACTGGGGCCTGAATTCCCACTAATGGCACAAGCACCCTCTGGTTCTCCAGTACCCCAAGCAACGTGACCTGTTTAGGCTTCGAATGTTGGTCCTGACCGGATGGCATCCCCCTGGTTCTTGTCCTTCGCCTCTCCTTGCTCAGCGTCAAGAAAGCTTGCTTAACATTTCTTCTGCCTCCTCTTATCACTCCCTGATTTACTCACCCAACGAGGCAGGAATCAGCCAGGCAGGAAGATGGCAGCTGTTCTCTTGACGGGGCGGGGGGAGGATAAAACAGCCCCTGAGATGCACGGCCTTGGTGCTTCCCAGAGAGGGGAGCTGCCGGCTGGCCCCAGGTCCAGCAGTGCTGCCGAGAGGAGGCAGAAGATCCAGAGAGGCAGCGAGCCAACGGGCCACTTTGCGTTCTTTACCTCCAAGGTAGACCAGGTCAAGACAGTCCCTGCGGGGAGTCCAGGAATGCTGATGTATTGTTCTAGGGTAAAATAACAGAATCTTGAGAGCCCACCAGAGTTTCTCTCTACTCCATCTTATACCCAGCAGAATCAAGGTGGGGTTACTCTGAGTTTCTTTCTCACCCTTCCTTCAATCTCTGGATGGTGTAATCCAGTGTTTTTCAAAACTGGAAACTTTAAGATGGGGGGACTCCAATTCCCAGAATTCCCCAGCCAGCATGTTGCGGTCCCCACATCTTAAAGCATGCTGGCTGGGGAATTCTGGGAGTTGAGGTCCCCATATCTTAAAGCATGTTGGGCCCTTAAGTGTATCATGTAATATTTATTAAATATTTTTTGTTAAATTGTTTTATTTAATGTCAAGTCTAGATTATACTTGTAACTTGTTTTCAGGCCTTTTGGCTGTAAAATAAGTTTTTAAAAAGCAGGCTGGCTGGGGAATTCTGGGAGTTGAAGGCCACCCATCTTCAGGTTGCCGTGCTTGGAAAACACTGGTGTAATTGCTTCTCTAAGTCCCTCCTGAATAGCAGTTTTGAACTTTCCTTTCCTTTTACGAAGACTTGCAGGATTCACCTTGTCTTGGCAACCCTTAGGATTCTGTGGGTGGGTTGGTGGGGGAGAGGCAACTCCTGAATCAAGGGCCTGTCTTATTTGCGCCCCTCCTGTGATGGGAGCAGCAGGAGGCTAGTTACAGGAGCCACAAGGTAGCTGCCCTTTCAGAGCTGGTGCGCTTCTCGGGGTCTCTTGTCGAGAACATGGGGAGGGGTCACCGCTGTCCTCCCGTGCCCCTCGTGGGCTTCCCACGGAGGTCATTTGCTGGGTCGTTACGGGAACTGAAGCCAGCCTTGCTGGACGCTTAGTCTTGTCCAGCCTCAGAGTTCCTTGGCCCCCATGATGGCGGAGTTGGGCTTCTTGCAGACATTTCAACCCCCCCTCCATTGCCCCCCCCTCTCTCCACAGCAAGCAACGTCATAACAAACTGTGGCGGTCGCACTCCGACAGCGATCTCTCGGACCACCACGAGCCCATCGGCAAGTCAGGGATGGAGGTCAGCAAAAAGGAAATCACCACCTCCGCAGACCGGATCTCCGAAAACAAGTCTTCCAACAGCCACGTGGCGGTGCCTCCGGGGCTCCCTGGCGGCCCCCACGGGCAGTTGCTGTGCCATTTGGGGGCTGGCCCTTTGGGGCACCTGCCCGGCAAGGAGAGGGTGATCCAGCTAGAAATTGCGCCCAGAGATTTCAACGTTGAGCAGATGGAGGACCAGCTGAACTTGAACAACATCAACGGGTGCCCCTCCGGGTGCTGCCGGGGGGACGCCACGTCTCCCCTGGACAACTGCAACGTGCCAGATGCCTTACTGCAGCGAGAAGATGCCTTGGAAGTGGCCGCCGGGTTTCCGGACTTGGCGGTGGATGATCTGGAGAACGATGCCCTCAAGCCCGGCGATGGGAACGTCCACCTGGTGCCCATGGAGGAACTGGAGTCCTGCTTGCGAGACACCCCCAGCCCGCCACCCAACCTTTCTCCGCCGGAAGAAGAGGAGGAGGAGGAAGCAGCCGCCGGAGACTTCGGGGTGGATCGGATTGACTTCTTCAGCGCCTTGGAGAAGTTTGTGGAGCTCTCTCAGGAGAACAGACCGCGGGCCTCGTCCGGCTCCAGGGCAGAGGAGCAGGGCAACGGGCGGAATGGGCCCCCCAGGATCTCTGGGCTGGAGCTGCTGCCTTCCGACCCCCCGGAGCAGGCCCAGCGAAGTGCCTCTGCCGGCAGCTCCCCGCAGGTGTCGGAGGCCTCCTCTCTGGAGGAGGAGCAGCTGAAGGTATCAGAGGCAGAGGGGAGGGTGTTGCCCGGGCAGTCCTAGGACCTTATAAAGTTATCGCCCGGGGGGGAACGATAGAAATTAATCCTGGGTGAAATGCCCCCCTTCCCCTTTCACGCCAGGGGATGTGAAAACACTCCTACACACCACCCGCACCCACATCTGCTGCTGCTGCTGCTGCTGGCTGGCACCTTCTAAAATTGCAAAGTGCCCCCAAAATAATAGGCATACCGATGGCTTTCCTGCCTCCCCGGATTTGGAGGGGGGTGGTGGTGGTGGTACCTCGATGTCCTGTTTTTCAGCCTCCTGCCTCTTCATTTTTCTCACTGGGGAGAATGGAGGGAAATCCCACCCTTGAGGAAGTGCAATTGTTAAAACCCAAAGCGAACATTGCTAATTTCTCTTCTCTTCTCTTCTCTTCTCTTCTCTTCTCTTCTCTTCTCTTCTCTTCTCTTCTCTTCCTTTCGCTTTTTATTCATTTTCATATTGCATTGATTAACAAA